GCGATCGGTATCAAGGATTTACTGAATACGTCGCAGGACCATTGACGTATTTTTAAATATATATATATATATATATAAAATACTTCCCGAAATTCATTCAATTCTCTCACAACCATTTTCAACTTTCTTATGATTCTTGTCGCGATTTTGGGAATTTATGAGAATGAAATGAAAATGATAAACAGTAACGAAAGTATTTAGTGTTAACTTACCAGTATGTTCAAAGCAAACAATTCGTAATTTCTCATAGAAATTTTCTTTAAAAAAAAAGGTTCATACGAACGTTTATACATCCTTGATCTCGTTTAAAAAGTTGCAGAAACTGTGATTGCAGATGCTACATTTTTTAAAGACATTTTTATCGAACGTTCCTTCTTCGATTTATATATATTTATATGCTTTCACATTTTTAGTCGAACGACCGAGTCGATCGACCTTAAACTCTTCACAATCGCTCGTGCAAATACAGCGTCAGCCACGTTGAAACGATTTCTGATCATGACTTTTAATCGAACGATCTGTTTAACTATAGTTATATCTAACGCAAACGCAGCTACCTAAATATACAGAAGGAACAATCTGTAAAAACGTTACCAAATAAATTTGTCCATTTATCGTCTAATTTGTCATTGTCATCAGTACTGATAAACAGCATGTTATTTCTCGTGTGACAAACATGTCTGATCATAGAAGCTGTCATTAATTATCTAGTCGCGAAAGACTACGTTTTTTGATCAGTCTGCTCTTATTTTTGCTGCCAGTAACATTGTCTAAACCGCTCGACACGTAGGCCGGCAGGTTGATTAAAATCAAGCGAGACTTAATTAGGCCGGTATCATTAGGAGAGAAGAAGCGCTCTACCGGATCTCGATAACGCGCCTCTGCTTGGTCAAGAACTCATTTCACGTAACAAATTCCTCGCCCCCTCGTAGATAACTATGTATCCGGTGGAGTCACTCTAGCGGAAGATTTTTCTCGGCCCGTTGAAAATTCTCTTCCTTGGACGTTATATCGGAAGAGAAGAGAAGAGAGGGGGGGGGAGAAAGTTCACGCAGAACACTTTGAAATATAAAATTATATCACCGTCATTAGGAATTTTTATCTGAATAATAAAATATTTATCACCGTGATTCTATTACCGCGTTATCACCGCGAACACTGTTATCGTGTTCAGTATGCTTGTCGTCTGTTTGTACGCGTTAATATTAAAATTAATTGTACAAAAGAGTTGTAAAATTAAATCGTTGAGGGGGTTCGTTAACAAAAATACTTCTCCTCTTTATTTTTATAGGTACTTTCGTAGAATTTATTTTAATATTAAAGCACGTAAATAGGAACAGGTACACTAATATGGATTGTTACCCTACGAAGACACGTTATAAATAAGAGAAATGTTTATATATAACAAAAAATGTTAAAGTTGTATTTTCGAGAACGTTTATACCACAGATTTGGTTGAAATTTTAAAAATAGGTTCTTTTTCTTTTTGGGTTAATGCGGTTCTCGGAAATTTTGTCGATATTAAAGGAATATTATATATTATTATATAAAATAATATAAAAATATTAATAACTGTATTAATTACTATATTGATTACCTATATTACTTAGAATAATAATTAACTATATTAATTAGAAAAATATAAGAGACAGGGATATCTATCACCCGTCGGGAACGGATGAAGGCTAAATTATTTCGTGAATCAGATCATATCAATTTATACGTCCTTTCTCAATGAATGTTTCACGATCAATTCGGTAGAATCGATCAGGGGCGTGAATTATTAAAGTCGATTCTGGCAATGATAAAAGAGAATTTCGTGCTTTTGTTTTCCCGAATAAAGCTTCGTCGAATATTTCGTGTTTTACGTACTCGAATTGACCTAAATTTCGCTCTCGTACAAACATTTTTCTTTCTTTGTTCGAAACTACTTTGTTCGCAATTTTTTTTTTTTTTTTAACTAACTTCCCGAGGATTGAATCTAATTATTCAACGTTATGCATTAATATTCGTATTCAACATTATGTTAACATTCATTACCAAATGGAAATGTACAATTCCTTTTCAAACTTCTTCAAATATTTAATTTTCCTCTCATTTGACGTATTTAATTTTTCTAGTATGAACATTTTCCTTTCCGTGAGAAATTTCTTACTATTTCTCCACTCGGGAATACAATCGTCACTTCGTCGAAAATTAATAATAACCGCAGCGAGAATTCCTTTAATTATTCAACATTATCACTGGACATGTGTGGCTCGTTTTTAAACTTCTTCAAATATTTAATCTTTCTCCATCCGACGTATTGAACGTTTCGTTTAAAAATTACTCAATATTTGTTAACATTATGCAATATTCTCTTTCCGAGAATCTAGGTTTTACCATCTCTCTATCCGTGCATCTTCGCCAGGAATAATAATCGAGAATCTTTCCAATTATTCAAACGAAAGTTCCTTGATTTGATGATTTGATTCGTCTCTAGAACGAAGAGGAAAAGATTGGAAATCTGTACGGCTTGAAATCTGTTCGTGATATTAATTTCCTCTCCGAGTCCTTCGTTGGGATTCTGGATGGACGACCATTGGCTGCCGAATAAAATAAAAACGTAAAAACAGAACAGCCTGTTGCCGGTTTCTGTAAACAATGAGTGTTGATGCACTCTTTCACGGCTCGTGCGAGAAAGGACTGCACTCTGGTATTGTGCAACGAGGCTCAATCGAACGGAAAGTGCCGATGATCGTTGTACTGTGACTAATCGTTGCTCGCCTTGCTAGCCTTGTCCATGAAAAGGTGGTGCAAGTTGGAGCGCGAATAATGCGCATGCATGCACTTTGTATTTATAGCCAGGCGACCCTATCGCAGCGAAATTTAAGTGGCCTATTCGAGTCTATATCCTTCTCGCCGAACCTATCTAGCCGATGATGTCGCAAAATCTCTTTCGTCCCTAACCGAAAGAACTCACTGTGAAGAAAGATTCTGTCAAAATTTCGTTTCCAACTTTCACCCATTCCCTTCAGTTCAGATTCAGAGAGTTCAGCGAATTGTTAAATCTCTAAGAAGAGAATCGATTTATTCGTTTATTCAGCGATATCGGTTCAGCTACAAGTTTCTAACGACTATACACAGTCTTCTGCTAAAGATAGCAGTGAGAATAGAAGCTGAAAGCTTTAGCTTCGGGGTGGAAAGACAATATTGATATCGATCGGTCCGCAAGAACTCTGCTCTTGCTATTTTTCATCCCGTAATCTTGTAAAAATTATCGTCAAACGAGAGCTTAACTTGATTATGAATCAGTTATTGATTGGTTTAAATTTAGGTTGGAGTTAATTGTAACTTTTAACAAGACCAAGGTGGTAACCTTTTGCTATCGCGATATAAATTCGCAACGATTCGAAAAATACCTCGGTTGTATATTTTCTCCAACAATCGAGATTTTCTACGAATTTTAATCGCAATGTACCGAGTGTAATAAAAAATAGTGAAACATTGAAGAAAAAAATCATCAATGAATTAATGAATCAGTTCATCGATAAATTATTTCTTAACTAGTAATTTAATTTTCTTAACTGTAATAGACAAATAATCTCTAGTCTGATGTAACAAATTATGCCTATCGAGTTGTTGCAAGGAAACATGAAACTAGGTCCCAAGTGCAAAGGCTTAATTACTTTCCAACACCTAATGGCTCGTATAAATTGGCGTAGAATTACTGCAGAAAGACATTATATTTCAGACGTTAATTGATCGATCGTTTAAATACAATCCTTTCCGGCTAATTAATTTTGTAACAATAATAAACAATGAATTTCTGACAATTTATTTGTAGTAAATAGCATTTCTAGTGTGTGCCAATGCGTACGAGCCTCGAGACACGCACACTGAAAAAAAAGTGAAGAAAAAAAGGGAAGAACAGTGAGAAAAAATCGCAAAATGTTCGATTGAAATGTAATTTTATTCTCATTAAATATATAATCGTGTTACGCGATCCGAAGTATTGCCTTTTCACATTCCACCCGACAATTACAAAAGAAAAGAGCCTGACCACGATCGTCAGACGCTTAATTAGAAGAGAACGCCTGGTAGAATTAGAGTAGAACGAGTTAGCGTGTTTTAATTACGTGTACGTGTTCGTGTGAGTGAATCGACGTTGCAATTGACAGAGAGATTCCGCCCTCCCGAGAGCTCTTCATTTGATCTGTTCTCGCGGTATTTACATACAAATCCGTACATACAGATCCGTACGAACGATTAGAAAATACGCGAAGAGACGTGTGTCGTCGTGTGTGTGAAACAGCTGTTCGATCGATAGCCGCCAATGACCCTCTGACAGAGTAATCGAATTTATCGAGACGATTTGAAGATACCACCGCATCGAAAACGAACGTGTGATTTCGAAATTTTTCCGACATCTTTGGTTTCTGACTAAAGTACATTTACAAACGGTACAAAAATCGTTGGTTCGCGTCGAAGACGGGGCAGTAAAGAGGAATCAGATTTATACGAGGGGGAAGGGGATGAAAAAAGATCAAAAGGGGCCGTTCAGGGTTCTTCAAAGTATCGTTACATCTCGTTGATTGAACTCATTAAGGACCAAGTAGCAATTCATCGTATAATATCAAAAAAGATACAATTTTCATACGGTTCGTAAAATCGTAGAGTTTAGGTCGAAGACACGACGAGATGAGAAAATATTAGGCGAATCTTGGCAACTTTCTTTTATAGCCACAATATTAAAAAATGTAGAATTTTTATAATAATACAAATTAATTGAAAAAAAAAAAAA